AGAAAACAGGGTATAGCCAATCCAAACATACATGTCCTTATTTAGCAAACCTAATGCTGAAGTAGCAGTGGTGTGGTGATCAGGAGGCGGTTTAGAGATGAATTCCCATGAGTAAGGTAATTCCTAGGAAACGAAATTTACTGCAATTTCCCTCCTTAACCCTTTCCCCTTGTCCCAGAGACAAGAGAAGGCAGGAAGCTAAGGGCAAGCAGTTCAGGTTGGGGGCAGGACTTATTCTTTCTGTTATGTGCTTAAAAACAGGGTCTGAGCCAGGGAGGGTTTTGAAAGAAACTATCAAGAAATATTAACAAGAACTATTGATCCCCTAAGGAGGTTTCACTTTTTAGAGATCATCTCTCACAAAAGCTTTATCCATTTTAATGTTTTTTTTTCATAAAATCAGCTCTTAGTTTTATTTATTAGTTCAATGATTTTCTTAATTTCAATTTTCTTAATTTCTCCTTTGGTTTTCAATATTTCTAATTTGGTGTTTAATTGAGGATTTTTAATTTGTTCTTTTTCTAGTTTTTTTTTCAGTTGTATGACCAATTCATTGCTGTCCTCTTCTTCTATTTTATTCATGTAAGCATTTAGAGATTTATAACTTCCCCTAAGAACTGCTTTCACTGCATCCTATAAGTTTTGGTATGTTGTCTCATTATTGTCATTCTTTTGAATGAAATTATTGATTGTTTCTATGATTTTTTGTTTGACCCCCCCTCATTCTTTAGGATTAGATTATTTATTTTCCAATTATTTTTTAGTCTGTCTTTCCATGGCCATTTATTACATATAATTTTTGATGAATCATGATCTTGTGTGGGATGCCACGCAAATTAAAAATAAAACAAAACACAGAGGTGTCCAAGAAGAAACAGAAAGTACTTTATTATAGTTATTATTATTATTATTATTATTATTATTATTATTATTATTATTATTATTATTATTTCAAATCTCGAGATTTGGGTGTCCTCACACCAATGGCTCTGATGAGAGGAGACAACCCACAGAGGAAGAAGTCAGTTTATATAACCCTGAAGGTTCAATTCCCCCTCCCTCACAGCTGTCTGTTAACTCGGCTCACAATCTCACATGCCAGACTCTAACATAGGACAAAGGACATAGTATACATCTCTATATTTCTTGGTTAGTTGAGATAATGTCAAAGAAACAATTTAAAAAATGTGCAGTTAGGAAGATAATTTACAATTGTTTTGGAAGATCTCAGGGATTGAACAGATAATGCTGGGAACAGAAAGACATCTGCATAAGACCCTGTCAAAGGGAGATAAGGGGACTTGAACATTTAAGGGTTTTCTGGGGCTTGGGACAAAAGGTGCATCTGGATAAGATCAGAAGGCAGGCCAGGGCTTAACAACTAGACAAATTTTAACTACTGATATATGGCACTAAAAAAATAATAACTTACAGAAATCTATTCTTTAACCCTATCCTACCTTCTGAACTCATTACCTTAATTACACTGAGAAGTCTTCACTAGGACATCCCATTCAATCTGAAAAGGATGCATTTAATATTTCTGCCTTTCCGCATTGGATTGTGAGGTTTTATGCCCTAGTACATGCTCAATTTTTATGTATGTGCCATGTACCACCGTGAAAAAGTATATTCTTTTCTGTCCTCATTCAATTTTCTCCAGAGGTCTATCATACCTAACTTTTGTAATATTCTATTCACCTCCTTAACTTTTCACAGGACGGCCTGGGGTCCGGTGTAAGTTTTCCCAGGGGATAGTTGTATCTTCTTTTGCTATTTACGTTGACTCAAGGTAGTTAACATTTTTCTGAGGAATCGTAGGTCATGTTCCACTCTGATTACTGTCATATATCACTCTGCCTATATTACAGAGGATATTTTCACCATGCATTATAAAACTGCTCAGACAGCCTTATGAGATTTAATGCATTGTTACAAGTGTAAAATGATATTTGATTCTTTTATGTTATTTTTATTTTGTTTTTTCCTCATGACATTATCAGGGCCAACATCCACACTGACAGCCTGATGACATGTTTGAAGCATGCTCAATCAGCCACTGGCTCTGTTGATATATGAGAGAGTTAAACAACATTTTGTTACCTCTATGCAACTAAGTGATCATTAGAAAGAGGAGTTTTTATTGTGCAGAGAAATATGTTCACTGCATTTCTTTCTTCTCCATTGACTTCTGTTTTTAAGTTATGTTCTACTTTTTACATCCCAATATTAATGATGATATCCAAATTGAAAGACCAAGAAAGTCTTTAGTTCACTCTCAGACTGTATCAACATATATAAAATGGAGAGATTGTTAGGGCAGTTATTGAGGTCATTCAGATTAAAATATTTTTATCTAGCTGGTTCAGATTCAAATGGAGTTCTCTATTGCCATAGTGTAATCACAATTGTCAGATAATACAGATTAATTGAAGGGAGTTTAATTGAAGGCCACTCAAAGGCCAAATTAAACAAACCAATACAGTTTCTCCAGCACATTTAAATGTTAACAGTCTTAGAATTCCAGATCTGTGTCTTGATTCGCATTTTCTCTTTTTTGGAGACCATCATGCTACCCTCACTTTGCTGATTTTGTCCTTATCTACTTAAAGGACTGGATACTGATTATTCTGCTATTCAGTCTTTTCCCAAAAGCCATTCTTCCCCTATTCATATACAGATTTGACTCCCTTAAAGTTGGAAGGGGCATTCTTTCAGTAGGTCTTTGATGAGGCAACTGGTGAGCCTTGGGGATACAAAATATTCCATCTCGGTAAAGGTAGAACACAACACATTCTTCTCATTTTGTCCTTGTTTTTAAGTGGAGGGGAGATCTCTTTCAGTTCCCCAAATTTAATCCCTCTAGGCTTCTTCAAAGGTAAACTGATTTTTGAGGAGATCCCCTCATAGAACTAAGGCCTAGGTTGGTTGGTTGTTGTCCTTCATGTTTGAAGGGGACCAAAACGACACCACTACATTGGGGTCAAGGTAGAGCATGTCCAACTGTGACCGCTCAGCCCAATGTGAGCTCAGAAAGCTCTATCACAGGTTGGGCACAAATAGTCCATATTAACATTTGGGGTGGAGATTGCTCTAAATTTTCACATCTCATGTATCTTTCAAGCTACTGCAAATCTGCTTTGCTCATAGAGCACAGGGGCAACACAGCTGGCAGGCCTAAGAGATCCTTTAATGTACTTATCTTCAGGTACCAGTTAGAGGTTTGGAGTATATTCACATTGGTCTTTCCTTGCTGAATAGCCACAGCCAGTTTATTCTCTGATATCCCAGAAGGGAAAGGTACCTTACAGTAAGCAACTACAGTCTCTAGAAGAATCTAGAGATGCAGCTAATTTGTGCAATGGATAAAGCACTAGACCTGGTGTCAGGAAGATGTGAATTCAAATCCTGCCCCAAATCCTAGCTGTGTTACCCTGGGCAAGTGACTTAATTTCTGCCTCAGTTTCCTCATATGTAAAATGAGGATGATAATAATAGCACATATGTGCCAGGGTTGTTGTGAGGGTAAGATGATACATCTGTAAAGTATTTTGCAAACCTTGAAATGTTATATAAATGTTAGCTAGTATTATTTTTTTTATTTTTTTGCTTTTTACTAGGCAATTGGGGTTAAGTGACTTGCCCAGGGTCACACACCTAGTATGTGTTGTGTGTCTGAGACCGGATTTGAATTTAGGTCCTCCTGACTTCACGGCCGGAGTGCTATCCACTGCCCCAATGTTAGCTATTATTATTGTCACCAAAAGCATCACCAGAAATCTTGCTAGTGTGAGTTCACCTCCTTCTGTGTTTATTGCTCATCCCCTTATTTCATATGCTCCTTATGTTCCAATCCTGAATGACTATGCCATTTATTCTTGGCTTGGCCTGCCTAAGGCCAGATCCCTGATAATTTTAGGTTCAGTATTAGAGCAAAATGAAACACTTGGACATCATTCTACAGGTAGCCAAAGGAAATTTACTTAGCATAGCAGGAGAAGGATGTGTTCCACAAGGTTAGGCATTGAGTCACCTCAGGTTTGATTCAGCTGGGAGAAACTTGCTCAGATAGCTTCTGGAGCTGATCCTCGATACTCTGCACTTAGGTAACTGGGAAGTGATGACTCTTTAGTCCCCTAAGCCAAGCAATTATCTCAAATGTTTACACTACTGTCTGAGGAAAAAACTAGGCTAACGTGCGGAAACAGAGGTTAGCTTACTATTCCTACCACAGCTACTTCTGCAGGAGACTTTTCCTGACTCCCCCTTCCTGATTCCACCCCACCTCCCCCCACCCAGCTGTTCAAGCCTTCCTCTCTAAGATTTTCAATGTACTTGGTATTTCTCTTGCTCTCTCTATTTATATACATGTTGTCTCTCCCATTTGAATGTAAGCTTCTTGAGAGCAGAATCTGTTTTTGCTTTTTCTTTGTATCCTCAGCATAATGTCTGGCACATAGTAAGTTTTTATTATATGATTCTTGATTTATTGATCACTTTATACTTCTGATATCACAGGTAGGGATGTGCCAATCAACTGGAATCTTCCTGACATAGATGCAAAGTGGAGAGTGGGTGGCACTGTATTTTAAAAAAGGAGGAAAGTAGAGAGGAATAACAAGGCAGAAGAAAGGGATGTGACAAAGCTATAAATAGCTTCGTGGATGAATCCAGACTAAGCCAGCAAAAGCAGAGGTTTTAAGTTGCTCTCACACCTAGAGAAGAACACATAAAAGCTAAATGACCCATCCTAGAACTAACCAAAACCAAGCTTCTTTCTGGTTTCATTAAAAACAGTCTATGATGCTCTTATATATCCACACTTTTTATTTCTTCTATGGGAATCTCTCTGAAAAACCTCTGAAACTCTAAAAAAACCCTGTTGCTATGGGATAACTTGTAAATAAGTCGAATTGAGAATTTCCCTCTCTTGTCCTTCCTTTACTTCTGGCAAGGTTGTTTTTAGTGTTTTTATTCTGATTCACTGATATTTGGCACAGGAAAGAAAGGAGACTACCATCTTGGAGCTAAAGAACGATCTTCAAACACAGATAGAAGAATTGAAAAGACAGAAAGAAGAAAGGATACAAGAACAGAAACTACTTCAAGAACAAGAGCACAAATTGTGTCAGATTCTTTGTGTGCTCCCATACAGCCTTGACAATGACTCGGTACTCAGCATAGAGGAGCTGAACCAGTTCAGAAATCACCTGGCAGCTCTGGAGGAAACAAAGGTATAATTGCTTCTTGACATTCTTCCTGTCTGTGTGTTTCACTCACTTCTGAGGTGCCTCATAACTTATTTGCTTTTATAGGCAAGGTGACGGGAAGAATTTGTTAGCGCAAAGAAGCAGATCCTACTCTGTATGGAAGATCTGGATCACACTCCAGAAACGGATTTTGAGAGAGATGTGGTATATAAGGATGACGAGACTTTTTTTCTGTCACTGGAGAACATAACAGCCCTAAAGAATCTGCTTTCACAGGTATACCGCTGCAAATTCAAGATATTAGTAACTTGAGTGTAGAACTTTGGAAAGGAGCTGCGGCTAGAACATCGACAATGTTTGCTTTATTTCTACATGTGGGTTTACTCAGTATGGCCCAGTAGTTTCATGTTAACTTTAGAAACTTAGGTTGTTTTTTTTTCTTTTTGTGCCTTATACAAAAGTGGCAAGCTTGTAACCAAAATAGAAACAATAATGATTTCCATTGCTAGAGTTCTTTAAGGTTTCCAAACTGGTTTCCTCAAAAAAAAAAACTCTGTGAAAACCCAGCAATTGGCAGAGGTGACAAAATATGGGAATAATCACTGTTGAAGAAGCACAGTAAAGTTGGTTTAATCATTTTGAAAAAAAATTTGGGGGCCAGCTAGGTGGTGCAATGGATAGAGCACCAGCCCTGAAGTCAGGAAGACCTGAGTTCAAATCTGGCCTCAGACCAAACGCTTTACACTTTCTAGCTGTGTGACCCTGGGCAAGTCACTTAACCCCAATTGCCTTAAAAAAAGAAAAGAAAACAATTTCTGAGGGAAAAAAGTGACTAAAATGCTCATACCCTTTAATGTAGAGATCCTGCTGCTAAGTAAGTACTCCAAGGAAGTCAACGATTTTTCAAAAAAACTCCATATCTAACAACTTATACAGAGTAGAACATTGTTTTTCATTTTAAATTTTAAAAATTTTATTTTTAATATTAAAAAAAAGTTTTGAGTTCCAAATTCCCTCCCCCACCCATTGAGAAAGCAAGTAATATGATATCAACTATACAGGTAACGTCTTGTGAAACAGTTTCACATCAGCCATGTTGGCTGAACTTTCTGTGGTAGAAAAGAAGTAGAAACAAAATAGCCGTTATTTGCAGAATGTCTAAACAAATTGTGGTACAAAAACATAATGGAATGTTACTACATTGTAAGATATGATGAATATGAAGAATTTAGTAAGAAGAATTGAAAGAATTGTGGGAACACTTACATGAACTGTTGATGCAGAGTGAAATGAGCAGAAACCGGAAAACCATACAGAATGACTACAATCATGTAAGTGGGAAGATTAAAAACAATACTGAATGCTATGTAAGTATTGTATGAAGCTTTTCTCAAAGAGATGAGAAAATATACTTCCCTCCCTTTGCAGAGGTGTGGGACTATGGATATGGAGCATTACATATCCTGCCAGACTGTTGATGGGATCATAGCATCATAGATCTATAGGTAAAGGCCATCTAGTTCAAACCCTTTATTTTACAGATGAGACACGGGGAAGGCCCATACCTAAGTCAGACAGACAGTAAGTAGCAGAGTTAGAATTTCAGTCCTCTCACTTCAAATTCATTATGTTCACTACCACACCTTTTTCCATTAATTTTATAGATATGCTTTTTTTCCCTTTTCATTTTGATTTTGTTGTTATAAGAAATGGTTCTCTGGGTAGAGGATAAAATAGGGATATTCAATCAAAGACCCCAACTATTGGAATAAGGTGTCAGTATTTGATAAAAACTACTGAGAAAAATAGAAAACAGTCTAGCAGAAAACAAGTTTAGACCAAGATCTCACACCATGTACTTCAACAAGCTCCAAATGAACAGACCTAGATATATAAGGTCCCATCATAAATCAATTAGAGGAGAAATGAAGAAAACACTTTTCTCAACTCTAGGTGAAAAGTTCAAGACCAGACAAGAGATAGAGGGGAGCATAGAAGATCCATGGAAATGGATAATTTTGATTCCATAAAATTGTAACAAAATGCAGTTAAAATTAGAAGGATGACAAATGGTCTACATAACCACATGAAAAAATGCTTCAAATCACCAATTATTGTGCTGTTGCTGTTGTTCAGTCATTTCTGTCATGTCCAACTCTTTATGACTCTATTTTGAGGTTTTCTTAGGGAAAATACTAGAGCGGTTTGCCATTAATTCTCCAGCTCATTTTTATAGATGAGGAACTGAGACAAACTGAGTTAAATGACTTGCTGGGAGTCACACAACTAGTAAGCGTCGGAGGTCTGATTTGAATTCAGGAAGATGAATCTTCCTGATTCTCAATCCAGTGTTCTATCCATGTGCCACCTAGCTGTCTTGTACTAATAACTAGGGAAATGCAAATTAAAGCAACTCTGAGGTTCTACTTCACACCCATCACATTGGCAAGTTAACAAAAAAAAGGAAAATGACAGATGTTGGAGAATTTCAATAGGGAGCATGGCCGTCTTGTACTATCATGTTGAATTTGATATATATATGTATATATATATATTTGAAGAAATAAGCTGTATGTGATAGAGATACACAATTTCCTACACAATCCTTTTTTCTGTTCCTTATTTAATGGAAATATCCATGTTTGTTGATGTTTGTCAAGATCATGATAAAAAAGAATCTTTTTTTTTCAAATACATTCTGGAATTTTCCCAGGCATCAAAGTCAAGTTTACTAACATATTTTGAAGACTATCCTGTTTTGGAGGGTAAACTGGGAAATCTGCTGATTTCCAATTTTGTAGTATCTCTGTTTCAGTAATTTTAAGAGATCACTAATGATGGTTTAACTGTCATATTCACCAGTTACTTTAGACTTTGGTATGTTTGTTTGAGCCACTTTTCTCACTATGATTTATCCTTATGTGAACTGCTAGAAGAAGGCAGTGATAATGATAATAGCTTGTATTTATACAGTTCCTTAACATTTACAGAGCATTTTACAAATCTCTTGAGGAAACTAAGGCAGAGTTTAAGTGAACTTGATAATCTTCCTGATCCTAATACTTTAGCCATTACCACAATGTTTCTATATATTCAATTTACCTCTGAATTATTTGTGGTTAGTGTACCCCCCCCTCAGCAGGAAGTCCAATTTCTTCTTCCTCTAATTAGAACTCTTCTCTTGGCGACACAGCAGTTGCACATCATCCTTCCTTTAGAGCAGAATACAAAGAGCTGCTTGCCTCTGAGGGGGTCAAGATCCTTGCTCTGTGGAAAGAGCATTGTTATCTATTGCAGAGCTCAAAACGATGAAGTTTTCCCTCTTTCCCCTGCCATGTCACTTTTTTACATCCATGAACCTCCCCACACAGGATAGTATTCCGTTATGCCTCTTGCTGTTTTTATTCTCTTTTGAAGCACTTCTTCTCATTCTTTCCAGGAACATTTCATTTGCCCTGACACCTTGCAATATAAGTTCCTTGAGAATCGGGATTGTTTCACTCTTTTTTAAAATTATTCCTCACATCTAGTAGGTGCTCAATAAATGCTTGCTGAATACCTGGAGAGAGGTATGCCATTAGCCCTTTTACCGTATCCTCTGATAGGGGGACCAACGTGCAGTTTGTGCATGTACACATGACACTGGCAGCTAAACGGCATGTTATTTTCTCCATTTATCACAAAATTCTCCATATTACAAAATTCTCCATGTTCTTCAAACTTGTGGGAAGTTTTGTTCTTGTAACTAACTCTTGGTGAATCGTTGTTTGCTCCCACCCATTCACCACCTGTGGGCTCCTGATAGAACTTTATTTATAGTAAGCTTCCAGTCTTTTTCACCAGCTTGCTCAGCTGCCTTGGATTCTAGTTAATATTTCTGTAAAGCCCTAAAACAAACAGAAGCAACACTGAACTATTGTCTGAAAGGCCTTAAACAGGAACCCAACTCCTAGCCAATTTTCACTTCCTAGCTACTTCCAAACCATGTTGCCTCAACCCCTTGCCACTGGAATGTGGTTTCTGTCCCTAGGATTCTGGCTCTTGATAGGTCAACTTTTTTTTGTGAGATAATTGGGGTAAGTGACTTGCTCAGAGTCACACAGATAGTGAGTATTATGTGTTTGAGGCCATATTTGAACTCAGGTCCTCCTGACTTCAAGGCCGGTGCTCTATCCACTGTGCCACCTAGCTGCCCCAGTAGGTGAACTTATGTCATATGTTGCCTGAAGTCCTGGAATTATCAGGCCTCCAGAGCACTTCCAACCATTTCCAAACCATGTTGCCAGTCACGCATTTCTCTCCTCCTTCTGCCTCCCTTTTATGTGTTACCTTACCACATCAGAACATAAGCTCCTTGAGAGCAGTGACTGCCATGCTTGCTCGTATTTAGATGCCTAGTGCCTGGTGCATTGGAAGTCCTTAACTTGTTTTCATTAATTCACTCTCTTTTCAGCTGATCAGATTTCAGACACCCACTCCTGTCTTCTGCCTTGTTGCTTCAACATCTTCAGCTATTTCTCTTTTAAAAGGAGGTACTTTACTTTGATTAGGAATGCATTTTCTTTGTTGCAGCTAGAAAAGGAAAAAGCTGAGAATGAAGTTGTGTGTAAAGGGCTACACTGTCGAATCAGGGAACTTTGGCTCTGGTTACAAATACCTACCCGGGAGAGAGAAGCTCTGGCCATGTCCATCACTGGGCCAAAGGCCATGATCAGAAAAGTGGTAAGAAAATATAATAGGCCAGACATGGGCAACCTTTCTGTCTTGGTAAGTCAAGGTTCTGATTCTTTTCATTAGTGTGTCAGACATGGCAGAAAGAAAGGATTGCTTGTTGCTGTCCGACCTCTGACCTGTGAGACATCTTTTGTGCCAGGGGAATGGGATGCATTATCTTTGGTGTGTATACCATAGATTGTCAACTTCTATAACAGAAGTTTCTATGTTTTTCCATCAGTTTTGGCAAGGAGGCCATATATTTGTCTCTATGACTTTCTGGGTTTTGTTTACTATCCTCTGAAAATTATGGAAGACTTAGGAAACTAATGACCGTCTTTCATTTATTTGTTTGTTTATTTATTTGTTTGTTTGTTTTTCATTTATTTTTTTGCCTAGGCAATGGGGTTAAGTGACTTGCCCAGGGTCACACAGCTAGTAAGTGTCAAGTGTCTGAGGCCAGATTTGAACTCAGGTCCTCCTGAATCCAAGCCTGGAGCTCTATCCTCTGTGCCACCTAGCTGCCCCAGTGTCCCTCTTTTATAGATTCATTCTTAGAAACCATCTTAGAACATACTTTTGAGTCATTGAATACCTTGAATTATGAACTAACCTTTTATTGCCAGTGCTCTTGCCTGTTAATTTGAGCCCTGAAAACTTGGTAGATGATTAGGTGAAATCAAACTCTAAACTGAGGCTTGACTAAACAGAAGAAACTTGGCATAAAACTAATGTTAAATCTGTTCTCGAGAAAAAAGAGAAGCACTTTTTGGACAGTTCTCCCCTTTGCAGCTACAGTTAGAAGTGGATCGGTTGGAGGATTTGAGGATTCAGAACTTGAAGAAAATGATTGAAGCAATCAGGGTGGAGCTGGCACTATATTGGGAAAATGTTTTTACAGCCAACAGCAAAAAGAAGCCTTTACACATTACTATAACGGTTAGTACGGGAACTATATCAACCTAGGCTTGCCTGCTTGCTGCTGCACTTCTATAAGCCAGATCTGAGAAGAACATGTGTTTGAAAAAGAATTCAGGTCAGATTATTTTTCTTGTTATCAATGTAAATTGGTATTCTTGTACAGATGACAGTTTGTAAGGCTGTTGGAAGTGATCTGCAGTTTTTCTCATTTGAAGCATTTCCTATAGAAATTATATGACAGAGTAGGAAAGGAGTAGGAAACTTTTCCCTCTTGAATCTCTCAATGTAGCTGGCCACCTGGGATGATACACCCAAGCATCTATTTTTGTCAAGTTTCTGATATGCTACTGTGCTTAATCCTGAGGCAGGGGATGCAAAAGAAATTTAGAAAACTTGGGTCCTACCCTTAAGGAGCTTATATTTTCATTGGAGAGAGATGGCTAACATGTAAACACGATTAATATCAGGGAATAACCATAGAAAATAGAAGGGAGTATGTGATTATATAAAAAAGTAATAGTACAATTAAATGCTACACAAATAGTAACTGAGACGAAGTAACAGGGGAGACCTGAAAGCAGGAGATAGTGTTTGACCTGGGCTTTAAAGGATGGATAGTATTTCGATAGAAAGGGTAGAATAGATATAGTATGAATGAAAGCATGGAGGTTAGATTGAACATAGCATTATCTATTTAGGGGAGGAGTGGGAAAGGTAAGGCTGTGCCATTAGAGGGTTTAGAACATGCGTTCTTAACCTTTGTGTCATGGACTTTTATGGCAATCTGAAGTCTATGGACCCTTAATCGAAATAGTGTTTTTAACTGCATAAAATGAAACACAAAGGAAATCAATCATATTTACTTCATATATGTGTATATATATACATATATGTATTTATGTATCTATATGTACACGTATATATATAGAGAGAGAATGTGTATGTATGTGTATATATGTGTGTATACATAATTATATATACATGTGTGTATATTATATATATATACAGTGTGCATTCTGAATATCCCTTCCCCTAATCTGTCCCCCTTCTATCTCCCCCTTCTCTTATCCCTTCCCCTTCAATTTTCCTGTAGGGCAGGATTGATTTCTATACCCCATGACCTATGTATCTTATTTCCCAGTTACACATAAAAACTATTTTTTAACATTTTTTTTAAACTTTGGGTTCCAAATTTCCCCCTTCCTCCCTCCTCACCCACCGTCATTGAGAATGCAAGCAACTTGATACAGGTTATATATGTGTAGTCATGCAAAATACTTCCGTCATAGTCATGTTGTGAAAAACTATATTTCCATTCATCCTATCCTACCTGCCATTTATTCTATTCTCTCCTTAGACTCTGTCCCTCCTCAAAAGTGTTTGGTTCTGCTTACCCCTTCCCCCTTATTTTCCTAAAGGGTAAAATAGATTTCTATATCCAATTGAGTGTGTATGTTATTCCCTCCTTAAGCCAAATCTGATGAGATTAAGATGCACTCATTCTCTCTCACTTTCTTCCACTTCCCTCCACTGTAAAAGCTTTTTCTTGTCTGTTTTATGTGAGATAATTTACCCCATTCTACCTCTCTTTCTCTTTCTCCCAGTATAATCCTCTCTCACTCCTTAATTTTATTTTTTAGATATCATCCCTTCATC